ATTCTTTCCTTCCTTTTTATTTTGATTTTGATTTTGATTTTTCTTTAAATAATCCGACGACGGAGCCTCTGCAAGTGAAACGTAATTTTTTCTCGCATACTCTTGAGGTGAGAGGATTTTCTCAATTTTTTGCTAAAAATATTAGAGTTAATTGAGAATAATTTTGAATAATTAATTACTTTGTAAGATTTTAAGGCTCATTGGATAACACAAATTTTAGCTGGTACCATCTTTTGATGGGCGTTGTGAGGGTGCTATAATCTTTCTCACACGTAACCGAACTCCCGAACCCTGTTCTGGTTAGTAGACCTGAACCTATTCTTTTAGGGACCCTTAAACTTAGGTGTTTCCTGAAAGGACAGATTCTTTAGGTAGTCAATCGCACCTAAATAAAAAATATTGGTGGCGACTCTTTTAAAGTCAAGTCTGACGATAAATCTTCGGATCTAAACGTTATGATAAATACTTTAGTATTCTTTTTCCATTTCAAGTCGATCAAACTTATTAACTAATAAGCCACCTTAAATTCTGTTGAACGTGGCGGCTCCAGTGTATTCTACAGTTTTACTACTTGTACTTAAATTAATTACTGCTGCACTACCATCAACTCTTGATTATAAAATATGAAAACGCAGCATAGTAATTGTAAAAGGATATCTTTGCATCGAACTTTTTTTTTATGATTTGAATCTTAATTTTTTTTATAGGGACATTGTTATTTTCTAAAGATTGTGTATGAAAGTTTGTAAAATTCTTATATTTTTGTATTATGAAAACTCTTTTTTGTTATTTTTGTATGTCACATTTTGACATTCATAAAAATAAATAAATAAATTGGCATTAGTTCATTTTAAACTAAAATTAAAATTTTTTATATAATTGATATTCCATGATTTTTAATATAAAATTTTTTAAACAAAAATAAATCATATATATATATATATTACAATATATATGATAACCAGATAAAATTTATTAATGTGAACACTTAAATTGATAGTATCTATTTTTTATACGTAAGAAAATTGTTAAAATTTATCTTATATATAAGATATTTTTTAATTTTAGATTTTTTATTAAAAAATATATTTCAAATTTTATTTAATTATCCAAAATTTTTTAAATTTAAATAAAAAATCAATTTGGATTTGAAATAATTAAATAGATAAAATTATTATTGTTTATTTTGTAAGATTTTATTTAAACAGGTAAAATTAATTCTTATTTTTATTTTTAATGAAATAAATATATTTAAAAATTTATTAGTTATCCATATATTTTTTAGATATATTTATTTGGAAAATTTTAATTATCCAAAGTTTTTTTAATGAAAAAATTATCTTTATTTATCAAATACACCTTTAAATATATATATTAGATTAATTTCCTAATAATTAGCCATTAGTATGGGTTTGGATGCAAGATTAGTCCTAAATGACCGAATAGCTAATGGAAAAGTACAATTATTTTTTATTTGTAATTAGTGTTACCTTTTTGGAATGCTTGTATTTTTGTTGCTTTTGTAATTAAATTTATAGTATTATTAATTGTAAAGTTTGCTGAATATAAAAATATTTTTAAATTGTAGATTATACTTAATATTTGACTAAAACTACATCTTCAATTATATTTCTTGTTAAAATGTTAAAAATCTATAATATTAAATATATTTTCAATTTGAAATTAAATAAATTTTTAATAAAAAATATTTTAAATTCATACTTAAAAATTTATATAAAAAATAATAATCTGACCCATAATCCAACCAACGAACATATTCAATTTCTAATAAAATTAAAGAATTATATTTAATTATGATCTATTTGCTTCTTTTATTTCTTTTGCTCGAATTTTGAAAAACATTCATTAATTAAATATGAATGTGGTTTTAAAAATATGTCTTTTCTTAATTTGTTTTAATTAGTTTAATTGAATTAAATTTATTTAACTAACTTTCTAAGATTTAATTGATATAAAATTATTTATTTTCCATATGATAAATAATATTATCATACTTAAAAGTCTATAAATTATTTGGCAAGAAAAAAAATTGAAATTTAAAAATAATTTGTTATTTTTTAAATAACATTATATTTTGAATTAACCATTATATATAAGATTTTTCCATTATATTTTAATTATAAATTAATTTCAAGCATAAATAATTAGATATATATAAATATATGATTTTGTCTTTCTTTAGATTTTAAATATTTTGAATAACTAATTATCTTTTTAAATATATTTATTTGATAAATAATATAAAATTGAAAAATATCTTTCATCGAAGATGAATTTTTTACACACAAATTATTTATATTTATCTTATTAAATAGATAATAAATAACTAGATTAAATGATAAATAGTTTTTAACTTGTTAGATTATAAATTAAATCTCCTCTAAAAAAAAGATTATTGTTTCAATTACGATTGAAAAATAATTAATTAAAAAATAATTAAAAGTAAGCTAACAAAGCAAAATAATCTGAGCATCGCCACGAATGGTAAATTAATTTTAAAATAAAAAGCAAATAATTTGAGTATTAGAAAAATAAAGACATAGCTTTTTGAATTTTTAAAGATAAAAAAATATATAAAAAATTGGAAAGAAGGAATTATTAGTATTACTTTGTTTAATCCCACTGAAAAAACCATGGTTACGCCACTGATCAAACCTATGTGAAAAATAAAAGTAATTTAAACAGAAGCAAACATTATTTGATCACTGATCCCAAATGGTGTCGTTTATATACCAATACCATTAAGAAATAAAAATTTTAGGTGATTTTTTTTTCAAATATGTTTCGTATCTCGTTAGCAGATCACATAATGAAATTTTTTAAAAATATATTAAAAGTGTTATTTAAAACTTTTTAGACGGAAAGTAATTTTTTTTGATTACACAAAAAAAAAAAAAAGGCTTCGAAGATACACCATAATGTTCAAACAATTGACAGCAAGAAGGCTTAAAAAACACAAGCAATATTGTCTAGTACCTAGAAAATTAAAACCCATAATCATATACTCAAACTGTAATTCCTTTCAAGCACATTGTCTCGTTCATTACGTAGTCAAAATGTTGGCATGGCATGGTAACAATTTACCAATAAAAAAATTCTATGTGTTATATAATTTTTATTTTTTAAAAATAATTTAAATTAAAAAATTCATTTGCAAAAAATATTTTTACAATTAAAAAATAACAAAAATAATAATTTTTAAGAAAATCTATTTTTTGTTGAAATTAAAAAAAAAAAATGGTCAGAGACAAGTGGAAGGAAGGGACAACGAAAGGGCCTAATGACGGTGAATCTGCTTGATCCAAAATAGATCGAACCTACTTGCATTTGGGTCGACTAAATCCGTCGTCTTCTAACCCTTTTCCTTCCCCCCTTCCCTTTCCTCTCTCTGCCCTTTTCAACCGCTCTCTCTCTCTCTGTTATTTTCCACAAAAATGGTGTCATCATATGCGGGCATCTTGTGTGGGTATTTTTCCACATAAAATTTGTCATCTTCCTGAGATAAACTATATTTTGGAAGATAAAAATTCTGAAAACGTTTCAAAGTTTTATCAACTCATAACCTCTTTTATTCATACCTTTTCCATTTTAAGAAAATCAAACTTAAATAATAAATGTGACAGTATAACTACAAGAAAATTAATGTGATAGCATGTTACATGAAAATATTTTGTAAGTGTATTGATTTGTAAAACCTTTTTAAATATTTTTATTTTCAATATGTTATTTAAAATTTTAGCTAGTGTACGTTTCTCATAATAACATTTTTTTTATATTGTAATTAGCAAATTTGAGTATTATAGTTACATAATTAATATATATATATAAAATAATTTGACTGCCATGAATTGACTCAAACTATGTATAAAAGATCAAATTTAGAATAACTTGTAATCAATATTTTTTATAATATAATCATGAATATCTTCTAATTAATTTACATGGACTTAATTTTGTCTTCAGACCATCTTAAAATTATAATCTCCCAAATCAACCTGATGTATTAAATTTTATTTTTGAAATACTTCAAATATATATTATTTAAATCTTTAAGAATCATAAATAAAAAAAATTAATCCTTATGAAAATTTTATCCTTACATATCTTTAAATTTTATCTTCTAGCCTTGTTTATAATTTTTTAATTTATGAGAAATTATTATTAACTTCGGGTAATGATAATTGCCATTAGTTTTTAAGTACTTTAAGATGTTAACTACTTCAATTTTAGATACAAAATATGCATTGAAATTAATCTATAATTGAAATTTAAATATCTTAAACCTGAGTTGGAAGATAAATGAAACATTAATTAGAAAAGAAAATTTGAGTAAGACAAGTATTAATTATAAATTTATTTAAAAATACATGTATCACCTTAAAATTAAGTAGTGAAATAACAAAAAATCAACAAAATAAAAAATATAATATTAAATTTCAATAAATTAAAATATAATGATCAAATTTAATATTGACCTTATAATATACACATAAATTTGATATTAATTCTTAGACGAAAGTCTAATTTTGAAGTGTTCATCATAAATAAAATTTTTTTCTTTTCCCTTTTTATGATTTGTACACATGAAAAATGAGAATATTCCAATTACATTTTTGGTCTCAATTCCACGTGGGATAATGAGTGCACCCGTGTCGAGCTGCGAACTCTCTATCTTACCCATCTTGAAACACGAATTGTTTGACATGTGTCCGAATTATTGGGCTTAAAAACTTGTAGAATGCAAGAAAATTTGATTGGTGGAATCTTTTTCCGCTTTGATTGATCTTGTGAGAAAGATTCGAGCGCGAGCATAACTATCCAGACCTTAATGGTGAAGTATGAGATAGTGCAACATCTCACCTACCCGACAGCTCCAAAGGCTGGCCACATTTATATAGGCAATTGGGTCTTGTCACCTTCGCTGCCCGGCAAAACCGTCTATAAAAACCCCTTCTGTTTCACCATCAAATCACACCTCAGTTTTAGCAGCTCCTCTCAACTCACCTTGTCTTTTGCCTAATCTTTTTACCAAATGGTTAGATTTCTGTTCCTATGATTTCAGTTTCGTTATTTGTGTTTATTCATTTATCAACAACGACAATTTTAACTGTTAATGTGGCTGTTAATGGCTTTTTCTGCTTTACTTGAATATCTAACAGGATCTCCAAGAATTTATTGTTGTGCTTCTGGTAATTTTTTTGGAAGGAGAAAGACAGAAGATAAGGTTGATGAATGAATCACTGATGGCTGATCGAGTTGCACTTCAGGAGAAGGAGAGGGAGCGTTCCATGCTTATGAGAAACAATCAGGATATGCTCGCAAAAGAAGCGGCAAAGGAAAAATTGGTTGATGATTTCATGGCTTTCATTGGAGCGAATAAGAACAACGAGAATGCCCACAATTTTGATGAAAAAGCAATGATGAAAGCTATTGAAACTATGATGAACAGTGACGGCGACGACAATGGAGGATTTGCCAATGGTTACGGTAAAAAGAAAAGCTCCCAAAAAATTACTGTTAATGTGGCTGTTAATGGCTTTTTTCTGCTTTACTTGAATATCTAACAGGATCCCCAAGAATTCATTGCTGTGGATGTGGAAATTTTTTTGGCAGGAAAGAGGCTGAAGATAAGGCTGATGAAAGAATCACTGAGGGCTGATGAAGTTGCACTTCAGGAGAAGGAGAGGAGCGTTCCATGCTTATGAGAAAAAATCAGGATATGCTCGCAAAGGAAGAGACGAAGAAAAAATTGGTTGATGATTTCATGGCTTTCATTGGAGCAAATGAGAACAACGATAATGCCCAGAATTTTGATGAAAAAGCAATGATGAAAGCTATTGAAACTATGATGACCGGTTACGGCGGCGACAATGGAGGATTTGCCAGCGGCTACGGTAAAAAGAAAAGCTATGGAAAAATTACTGTTTTCATAACCTGGCCGGCCTGGCTGGTTTGATTGGAAGCCAGTTACTTGTTCTGTACAGAACGCATTATTAAACTCCTTTTATGGTTGTTGTTTATGCAGGAGACAGTAATGATCTCGGAATCGATCTGGGTCTTGAAGGAAAAACTACGATCGATGGAAGTATTGCTCTGGTGAACAAAGTTGGCAGTTGTGACGGCGATAATGGAGGATTTTCCGGCAACCAAGGTAAAAAGAACTAACTTAAAGAAAAAAAATAAACGCTCTGAAAACTGGACTATGCTGGCAATTGAACCGGTTCAATAAAAACCGATCAAATGTATGTATACATTTGCTGAGGATTTTATGGTTGTTGTGTGCAGGGGAGATTAATAATGCCCTTGAGAACGCTCAGAAGCTTGGTAAGGAAGCTACGAAGACCGCTGCTGATGGAACAAACGGTGACGGCGATGAAGGCAGCAACGCTGGTGGTTATGGTAGCAGTTACAATGGGAAACGCCGCAAGTAGGATGATGGTGGGCCCCATTAATTACATTTATATGGAAAGATTTACGAACTACGGTATATTTTCAAGTTGATGTCCTGTCGTGTTCTGCAATATTTGGATTAAATATTTTGTCGATTAAAGTACTAATAAGTTGCTGCTGAGTGGTATTGGAGTTGATTTTAACGTTGAAAATTTGAAGTTCGAGCTTCGATAAGGTGGCAACGATTGTGAACTTAAATGAGATTTGGCTTGTACTTTGAATTATTTAAAGTACTAGTTTGTTTGTGTGTTTTTTTTTCTTTTTTTTCATGTTCATTGGTGTGAAAGGGCTAGAAAATTAAGGACAACCTCAAACATGGTTTGATGCTATCCTGTGGTTGAAAAACTCGGTAATACGGGAGATTAAATTGTTGTAATGAGTAATTAAGGACAACCTCAAACATGGGTTGATGATATTAGCTACAATAATCAATTGTTCTAAATGGAAGTTGCTATGCCTTGTTTAACATTGTGATTGCTTCAATTGAGAATGGATCCTTGGGAGTTTAGAATAGGCTTTCTTCAGCTGGTACCCAAAAGGAACATGCTCAATTTCAAGGGAAACTTCGTCAAATTTTGTGTCAAAGGCTTCAAGGAGCATTAATCGCTAACTGTTAATATTTGCATCTGCTGCTGCATCCATACGCTTTTTCCTGCAAAACATTTAATTCTCTCGTAGGAGTGCTCTTGTATCCATGTGCTTCCACGGAGCCAAGGACCTCGTCGCTACAATAAGAGATGCAAAATACGCGTTATAAGGGTGAGTAAAAGTGGAATTGAATCTATTAGATGGAATGAATTTGATTGATTTAGTTTGTTTTATTTGTTTTTATTTATAACTAATTCTTTAAATGGATTAAATTAATTAATTAAATTAATTTTTATTTTTAAAATTGATAATGATCGAATAAATTAATAATTTAAAAAATAAAAAAATTGGAGATAAATATTTTTATTTAATTTTTTATAAAATATTATTTAAAATATTATATCTTTTAATAATTTAATTGAAATGATACTTAAATTTAAATTTTATTAATTGAATTTGTAATTAAATAATTATTTATAATAAAAATAAAAAATAATAAAATAGTTTAATTATTTAGTCAAACTAAACAAACCAAATCAATTTAATTATGATTAATTATTTAAAAATTTTTAATAAATTCAATTATTTATTAAATAAAAATTAATTAAATTAATTATTAATTTTTTTAAATCAAACTAATCTAACCGATCAATTATTTACCTTACGCATCTATCCACAAAAAATGTGCAAAAATCGACAAACCCAAAAACGAATCCTATACTACAAACCTAAATCCAGGCAAAAAAAAGTAAGAAGAGAGAGTTAAGAAAGCCCGTCTCAGAAGAGAAAGATTGAGAGTACCACTACACACTCTAGAGAGAGAGAGAGAGAGAGAGTTGTGTTTCTACCTGTCAGTTTTTTAACTTAGGCTTTCACCTTCCCTTTTGGTTCCATGCAATTCGAAGGTATTTCATTTAATTATGTTTATAATTATATGTTTCCTGGTACAAAATCTAGCCTTACGTATATTTATGTTTATGGTATATATATAATTGTTGAAGGGTTTTTTTTTGTCTAAAAATATAGTTTTTTATACTAATATATTAGATTCGTAATCAACTTAAATTTAATTTTGAAACTAAATATTAGATATTAGGTTCACAACTAACTTAATCTAGTCATGATTCTAATATTTGATATAAGAGTTTGATTCAAGCTGATGATGGATCTAATATCCATTAATTAAGTTTTTATTATTTTAATTTTAAATTATTTTTTGATATTTGAGATTGTCTAAAAATAAAAATTCAACACTCTAATAGCTTATTACATCATCGGCTAATTTCAAATTATTTATACAACCACATAACCATTAAGCTTCAGATCTTACTTTTCATTTATCCAGCCATAAAAACATAAATATTCAGATTTTATTTTTATTTATTTGCCTTGTTGAACGTCCATCCAACTGGATTGCTAGCTTTTTAATTTGCTTGTTTTAATATAAACTTATTCAATTTTTTTTTTGGTCTGTTAAATAAAGGATTCACTTGATGCACGACAGCTGAGTTGAAAATGAAGTGAGAGGAGAAAATACATGCTCGGAAGCAGGGCTATTGAAATTTGAATAGCAGGCTTTGGTTTTGCTTTGAGTGACTTCAGTTTAGTAAGTTAAGAAAGTGTTAGTTTATTGAAACGCATAGTTTCGGTTTGGAAAATAATAGGAGGCATAGTTTCGGAATGAAAAGGAATGTAGAAGGAGGGATGCCGTGGATTATTTACAGCCATATATAGGCTAGTGCTTTAGTGGAATTTTCCATGAATTTTTTATAGCGGGGAGAGTACACTTCCTTCATAAATACGGCACCCCTAAGCCACTTTTCTAAAATTATCTTAGACAAATAAAAAAAAAAAGTAAAAATATATACCAAACTAAATTTAATTGTCAAACTCATAAAAATACAAATAGAATCTTACTTTATTATGCTCAAATATCAGCACGTAATAAAAAAATAACATTTAAAAAATTTAATTACCAAATAAAAAATAATTAATGAAATTTGACTTACATATTTGATATTATTTAGAGAGTATAATTTAACAGTTGAGATTGGAATTTAATTTTCCGTCTAGTTATATTGTTGTAAAAACAAAATTATTAGAACTAAATTTTTGGCTAATAAGTTGATCAATGAAATTCGTAAAATTACATAAAGCTGAACAAATCCCAAGTCCCAAACCAATTCTTATTCCCGCTTACAAACTTGTTATTTGTGTCACGTGATCATCATTATTATTTTTTTTTTTGCAAAATCAGCAAATGCACCATGAATGCTCTCCTCGCATGAACTAAAAAGTGATATATACAAAGATGGAACTGACCCAAGTGATAAAAATTTTCGTAAAATGAATTAAAAAGTGTTTTGGATAACCATAAAATGAATTAAGACCATGTCAAAAATATTGGCAGCCAGCATTTTTGTACGTAAAAGTTACGAAAAAATTCTTCTAATAAAAGCCTCAATCATGATCGCCATAGAGTGAGTACAATCTGTACAAGTCCATGCCTGATTAACTCAAGAATTTAATCCCATCCCAAATTAAATTGCATTTTTACCATTTAAAAAATATTATTATTGTAACAAAAAATTTGATTTATACTCAACAAGGCATGTTTGAATATGACATTAATTCATAACTCCATTTTATTTCGAAACTTAAATACCATATTAATTCTTTCTACACCACGACGAGAAAACTCGAAAAATTGAGACTAGGATTGTTGGGAGCGCCAGGCCCCAACTGTATTGGAACGATTGGGCAACGCACGGGAGCCCCCAATTCCAATAGCAATTTACTCTGGGGTGGGCTCTACGGGTAACAAAATAGGATTAAATCAAGTCGCCCAATGGTCCACAAAGAGCTTGGCCTATAAAAAGAGAAACGTATACTTTGACCCTTCCAAAGCCCACTTCTTTTATAAGCAGCCTCTCGGCTCGTCGCTTCACGTCTTGGGGATGCGGAATTTGTTAAAAAAAAAAAAAACGTATTTATTTTGCAACAATTCTTGATTATAATTAAAGCAGTCACATCTTTGTTAACTAAAATATTCTTATCAATCATATAGTTATGATATCATGCTTGTCAATTATGAAATTAATCAAAATTATTGCTTTATCTTCTTCCCTAAATATCTCACTTATACTTTTTTTATTCATATAAATTTCTTCTTTTATCCATTAATCTTTTTGGAGATTTTTCATCTAAAACATCATACTTTAATGCTATATTTAGATATATATATATATATATATATAAAGAAAAAGAAATTAAAAGAAAAGAAAGAAGATAAAAAATTTTTAAAAGAAAAGAAATCATATATGTACCTCTCATTTGGATGGTTAAAATTAATAAAAGCAAAAAAAAAAAAAAATTTAATAATCATTATTTGGATAAATAGTAAAAAAGATAAGAAATAATTCATTATAATTTTTTTTTAATTATAACCTTTTTTTTTATAAAATAACATATAATATATAAATATATCTTTATACTACTTAACTTGTATGAATAAATCTTTTTAAATATAATTGAACATATTTAATACAATAAAATGTATTAGTTAATTATTGATTTACTCTTAATTTTATGTTCAATTCAATCTTTTAATTTATTATGACAATAATTTCACTTTTTTTGTTGTTAAGACTTGAAAAATTATAAAATATTTATAAACTGTGATGTTATATAAAATACTAATAAAAGAATTATTTTTGTAAAAAGTATTAATTATATAATCAAATCTAATGTTATAATAAAAATCTAAATATAATAATTTTTTTATAAAAATAAAATTTTTTTAACTTTTCTTTCATTAGCTTTTCTCCCAAATTGAGATATTAAAAAATAAAGATTATAAGGGAAATAAAAAATTATTGAGTTTTCATCTATTTTTTTTCTTTTAAAATAAAAATTTATCCAAATAAATAAAAAGTTTTTCTGTTTCCGTTACTTTTCTTTATTTTCTTTTCCTTTCCTTCCTTTCAATCTAAGCATAGGTAACTGTAAGGATTTAATTATACTTACCATTATTATTCATTGAATTTCTTTCCATCTAATAACCTTCATCTCTATCAGATTCTTTGATTCAAAAGTACGTCCAATCCTTCTTGTAATGATATATATATTGTAGTATTATGTTTCATATTAAAATTATTTGTTCTTTCAAAATATTCAATCTCAAATTTGCAATACTTTAATTAGTCTAGCTCTAGGATCAATTAATCTTTAAGAAAGTGAATGCAAAATCAAATAATAAAATATTTGCATTAGATATAATAATTTAATTTGATTTGACACTTAATTTATTTATATTCATGAATGAAATTTTTTTTTTAATAATTATAAAGAATTGCAATCACATCAATAATCGATAACATTTAAACTAACTTATAATCAAACTTAATCCAAATAAACATTTTACCAAACAAAAATCAATCTCAACTAAATCTATGAATTTGGCCTCTAAAATCCTCAAATCAAATACAAATAATCACATTTATGAACAGTCTCTTTATCTCATGAGATGTCTAAATATCAAATCTCATAAAATTTTGTAACTTTACA